CATATCTAAAACTGAGTAAATACAGCCTCAAAACTTGTCAGCCACCATATCTGATTATTTATATTCAGTAAATTATATTTCCTCAGTAGTCACAGTGGTTATATTGCCACGTGTCGTTGACGACTTTATCTCAGCTGTTAAGGTAAAAAACTCAGCGTAGATTTTGGCCCAAGGTACAGTGGCAGCGGCTAGCGCACAACGTTATATAATTTCTGAACGGCGTATATACGAGAAAATCTATGTATGAAACATACCCAATAGGCACATAGAACTATTGAGGATAGGAACTTAGTAATATACTACAGCAAAAAAATGAAACCTTCCCCATCCCAATTTTTCACCCCTTAAAACAATTAAAAAATGTTCAGAAGTCTCTAAAAAATCAAAAACTGAGATTTTTTTTCGTTTTTTGCCTTTAGGTCCACTGCCACTAAACAGATTTTTCAAAACCACACGGACTTTTCGTCCATGGAATACTAGCAATCTCGTGTAAACAGCTAATAAGAATTTGAGCCGAAGTATCCTGACAGACAGACCCCCGGAAATAAGTGGCATCATTTTTCGTGCTGCAGATGTCATAAACCATCCATCAAACGTTATGTATCTTTTTCGGAATTTTTAACGATAACAATATTTGGTCACTTGTGGAGTGGGAAGTGAAAAAGAAAATTTAGACTACACCCTTGAGTGATCAGAAACTTGAAAGAAGGAGAAAAGCAATATTTGGGTATTCGTAAGATGTTGGTCTCCCAAAAACCTTTTTTGACTAGACCCAAAAACTAGCAGGAAACTGCAAGTCATACTTATAAGAAATTGCCTATCAACTTTTAAAAAGATATGTTCATGCCATTTACAAATCTTAGAAACAAATTACCATCCTTTGTTTCTAAACAGATTAATTATAATAATACCAATACTTGAATAAATTTAACAAACAAATTAAAATATCTAGGTGTATATTATTTAGACTCACATATAAGGTGCAATATACTGTACACATTGATCATGTTGGAACCAATGTGAGACCATTACTGTGAATCACAATTCTAAATTCAACACTCAATTTGATACTAGTCATTCTTCTAAAGACTTAGATTGTCCAACTTATAAAAAACATGTTACATACTTGAAATCTAGAATTGAATAGAATAGTGATAAATTCAAGGTTTTAAAATTTGGTCATATAAACTGCAGATCAGTTTTATCAGGATTTCATGAATTTAGTACACTGGTTCAAAACAACAACCTTGATATTGTTGGAATATCGGAAACGTGGCTATCAAAAGATATATCTAATGACCATATAAGAATGAATGGATACAACTGCTATCGCTGTGATAGAGATGGGCGAGGTGGTGGGGTTGCAGTCTTTGTAAACAACCACTACAACTCTTCCATAATTTCATTTGGGCAAGGCCCAAGTCTTGAATATATATGGCTGAAGGTGCAGCTTCCAAAACAAAAAATTGCTATTGGTATATTCTATCGGCCCCCACATAGCTCTGTTACAGAAGCCGGTAATACCTTTGATAACATGTTGCCTGCCATATTAGCTGAATATGATGATATCATCCTTGCAGGGGATATCAATGTTAATTTGCTTTTAGTTTGTAACAGCTTGACTAAATGCCTTGATTCTTATAATCTGAAACAGGTGATATCTGAACCGACTAGGATAACTGAATCGACACTCACTCTCTTAGATCCTATTTATTTGAGCAAGCCTGAAAGTTGTCTTAGGAGTGGCACTATTAATGCTGATATGATTACTGATCACTATTTAACCTTCTGTGATATACGTATTGCACTTCCTAAAAATCAACAGAAATTTGTGACATTCAGGGATTTCCATAGTTTAAATGAAATAGCGTTTGAACAAGATCTCAAGAGTTTTCCATGGTGGCATATTATATCGATAGATGACATTGAAGATACAATTAACTTTTTAACAGATAGTATTTTATGTTTATTTAATGTTCACTGTCCAAAAAAGGTAGTGCGTGTAAACAAAGCTTCAGCTCCTTGGTTGGATGATAATATTAAACTTGTATTCAAGCAGAGGGCTGAAGCTTTGTCAAAGTTCAAACGTGATCGTACAGCCGCCTCTTGGCAACAGTATACATATTTCAGAAATCGTGCATTAACGCTCGTGCGAAGAGGAAAAAGAGATTATTTACAAGCTGTTCAAAATCAGGATATAAAAAAGTTTTATAAGACCCTAAAGACTTTCAAAGTACAATTTCAGAAAGATTCTCCAATTCCCGTGAGCTTGTCAGATCCGTATAAAATAAATGAGGCATTCATTTCAATTTTCGAGAATAGTGATTTGGCTTGTGCTGATAAAATTGCATATTACCGAGCTAATAAAAATAACTCGAAATTCAAATTTCAATTTAATAAAGTGACTATTGACACCGTTGTTAAAATTATACATAAAATAAAATCAAATTCTAGTGGTACAGATGAAATAACTTTGCATATGATACTACTATGTATACCTGAAATTGATGTGTACTTAACGCATATTATAAATTGCTGTTTAGAGAGGGGATATTTCCCCAATCAGTGGAAACGCGCTGTAGTTATTCCGCTACCTAAGTGTTCTGACCCTACTAACTATGGTCAACTGAGACCGATCAGTCTACTGCCAATTTTTTCTAAAGTATTGGAACGCGTTGTTTACGAGCAGCTCTGCACCTACTTATATTGTAACAAAATTATTCCATCTAAACAATCTGGATTTCGACAAGGTCATAATACAGCTTCGGCACTCTGTGATTTAACAGACAATATAACAATGGCACTTGATAACCAAAAAGCAGTAGCTCTCATACTTCTTGACTTTACTAAAGCATTTGACACCATTAATCACTCACTTCTTGTATCTAAATGCAGTTGCTATGGATTTTATGAAAAACCTCTTTCGTTTATTCAAACCTACCTTGAAAATCGGTATCAAAAAGTTCGTCTAAATCAACAGTACTCTACGGAACAAAAAATTTGTTCTGGTGTACCACAGGGATCAGTCTTAGGACCGCTATTATTTTCATTATACATCTCAGATTTAGAAACAGAGGTAAAATCATGCAGCAAACAATTTTTTGCAGATGATACTCAAATTTTCTATTCATTTAGGAGTAATGACTTGGAAACGGCAAATAATAAAATTAATCAAGATCTTGTCCAAGTTGAAAAGTTCAGTAGTAGTCATAATCTTCGTTTGAACCCTTTGAAGACAAATATGTTAGTATACGCAAATAGAACAAAAAAGAATACCTTAAAACAGGACATAGACATACATTTAAAGGGTAATAAATTAATTCCTGTGGATCATTCGAAAAACCTAGGTATTATAATGGATGATCACTTAAAATTTGTTGCACACGTGAACTATCTAATTACTCAGTGCTACGCTATTCTCAGAGTTTTATTTGCAAATAAGGCTATATTACATAAATCTGCGAGAAAGCAATTGTGTGAATATTTCGTATTTTCAAAGATATCGTATTGCTTAGTGGTTTACTATCCCTATTTAGATATTATAACAAGAAATCGTATTCAAAGTATTATGAATACATGTTGCAGGCTTGTAAATGATCTCAGAAAATATGATCATATATCGAATGCCATTAATGAACTCAAATGGATGAAAATTGATAAAATGTATAAGTACCAGCTCCTAAATCTGACTCACAAGGTTCTTTATTCAAAAACACCGTCATGTTTAGTAAACAAATTCATACGTAGAGGGAATATGCATCGTATTAATAAAGAGAGACTTTTTCAATTCCACGCCACAGCACGTCTCTATTTCAGAATTCATACATTTACAATGCGATCAAATCATATAATTCTTTAGACCGCAGTTTAAAAGAAACCAATCCATTATCCAAATTCAAGAAAAAAGTGAAAGAAGTTCTTCTTGATCAGCAGCGAAATCGGTTGTAATCCATAAGTGTCCTCATATGTTCCTTATGTATTTACTTGGATTATTCGTTATTGTATACAGGTGCCTATTAATTTTCAACAAATTCTTTTTTTTTTTCTTTTTTACATCTAGTATTGTTAAGGGGGTTAGATGGTAGAATAGATGGGTCAAAACCACCAAGGTGGAAAATTAGCTTCCGTAGCTAGCTAATGCCTAAATTCGTTATTTTTTTAAAATATTTATTGTCGATACTTATAGCTGTGTAATCATATTAACAGTACATACTATTTTTATACTTCAAAAGTAAACCATGTTCATGATTATTTGACCAAATAAGTGCAAAAATCATTTCGAGAACGTGTCCTAAGTACCATTTTTTGTAAACTAACACCACAAATATCCATAAAATGGAATTAATCTAGGAGTTTTTGTTATTTATTAGCCTTCAATTTTATCTGACATCAGGAATTATATGCATTATTAAAGAAAAAAAAAAGAATTATAAGAAACTCAAGACAAAATATTATGTCCGGTAATGTAAGCGTCATTTGAGTGAACGCAGCTCTGATTACCCTGAAGAATCGTGTTGTTGAACGCAGCCTCTAAATGTCTATGGTACAGTGTAGTGGAACATGTAAACAAAGTGGCCATCAAAAGATCTTTCCGGCAAAATAATTGGCAATAGGTGGTAAGTACGTTTCTGTTTATTATCCACAGAGCGTACATCAAAAGGTCATCATTCCGGGAATACGTTTGTTAACTTGGAATATTGAAAAAATGCGTTTCATAGTCTTTATGACAAACACTAACCTGAAATATTTCACATTAACCAAGCCAAACATGACGCCAAAGATGGCCGCTGGCTAAAAAGGGCGCGTTTATTTGAAAAAGTCATTCCGGGAACAGTCATTTTGGGAACGCTCCCGGACTTGACGGAGCGTTCCCGAAATGATGATGACGTTCTCGAGATGACTATTTAATTACCCGAGTAGTTTATGTTATAACTATTGCTTAATTAATGTAGTGCATGGTGCGCTTAAATAGTTTTAATACATGGTTTTTTTCTAGCAATATGGAGTCCCAGGACGCTGCAACAAAAAGAAAACTTTCTAAGAAGCAACTTAAAAAAAATAGTTCAGCTTACTTGCGCCAACGAGAAAAAGCCAATGCAAGAAAAAAGAAATTCTTAGATAAGATGACAGAGGAAGAGATAGAGATCAAAAGGGCTAAGGATAGAGCATACTATCGGAAAAAGAAAGCTGAGAAGAAAGTTAAAAACATTTCTGAGATGACTGAAAGAGAAAAGCGAAAGCAAAGAAAAATTTGGAAAGAAGCGTCAAAGAAATACAGAGAAAAGAAAAAGAAATTATCAACTATACTAAACAATACTCCGCCACATTCCGATGATGAGTTAGCTGCAACACCTTCAGTAAGAAAAACAGTGGGTAGAAAAATTGTGCGGAAGGACAGAGCCAAAGCATATCGTAAAATCAAACAACAGGAGAAAACAATTGCTAAAATTACACGTAAATATGAAACCTTGAAGAAAAAACTAAGAAGAAAAGAAAATAGAGAACAGGAGAAATCTCAGCCACCAACAACTCCTAACAGCAAGGTTGACGCATTGATAAAAAATGTTGACGTCCCTCCTGAGGTGCACAAGAATCTTTTATTTAACGAAGTACTGACTACGCAATTAAAAGAAAAAGCTGGTAGTTTGAAAAAAAACTCTAAAGAGAATGAAGTCTTCCAAAAATGTGTCAGCGGTGATTTGGTAAGGAAATACAAATTGCTTCATATGGTTAAGACTTTTTTGCCAAAAGAAAGAACCAGTACATCGATTTTGAAGTCGGATACCAAAATTCGTGAGGTTGTGTTGAAGCACGATATTCGTCAAGAAGTTGAAGATTTCTTCCAGAGTGACGATATCAGTAGGATGTGCCCAGCTAAGAGAGATTTTGTGAAAAAAACGGCATTAAGGAACAAAAACGCATCCTTTTACTTCCTGTTAAAGAACTGATGTCAAAATTCGTTAGCGAAACTGGAATAAACTTGTCTTATACGACATTATTAAGAGCAAAACCATTTTGGGTGGTATCTCCAAAATTAAGAGACAGACAAACTTGTTTGTGTGTCAAACACGAAAATTATTAATTCAAGCTGAAAAAATTAAAAAGCTTACACCAAATTGCTCAAGGGAGTGTAGAGAAAAATATCGAGGAGTATAGTTGCGACATAACTTCTTATGACTGCATGAATGGTATATGTGATAAACGCAACAATCCTACGCTTGAGCCAACTGATAATACAGATTCTGTTAAATATTTCCAATGGAAGTCTGTTATTGAAGAAAAAATTGTAAAGGGCCAGAATAAGAAGTTCAAGATCACGAAAAAAGTTACAATTTCAAGTACAGTCAAAGAATTAGAAATATCTTTTATTCAAGACATTCCAGTTATGAAAAAACATTTATACGGCATTTATAAATACAACAAATTGAAAAAAGAGTTGAAAGAAAATTTAACTGAAGAAGAGATTTTGATACAGATAGACTTTTCGGAGAATTACACAAGTAAATACGCAAGCGAAATCCAGTCGACTCATTTTGCAAAAAAACAATTGTCTATTCATACAGGCGTCTATTATATACGGAACGTTGACAACATTTTACAATCTAAATCTTTTGCTACCGTAAGCGAAAACTTGGATCATCAAGCTCATGCGATATGGGCTCACATGAAACCGATCCTACAAACGGTATTGGAAAAAAAAGATATTAACGCCCTTCATATCTACTCTGATGGTCCAACATCCCAATATCGCAATCGAACTAATATACATCTCTGGTTACAAACATTAATAACTGAATTCAAGCAGATAACCAAATCTTCTTGGACGTACAGTGAACCTGGGCATGGCAAAGGACCTATGGATGGCGTAGGTGGTGCTCTTAAACGGATTGCCGACAGGCATGTTTTAATGGGACGAGATATTCAAACAGCCTCAGACTTAATAAATTTATTCACGGATTCTACTATTTTAGTAAAAGAGATTCCTGATGAAGACATTTCTACCGCAAAAGATTTAGTTCCGAAAACATTAGATGCTATACCAGGTATCATGAATATTACAAGGATTACATGGCAAAGAGGACCAGACGTTACAATCAAACTGTACCGACATGAACGTTTTGAAAAGCAACTAAAAATGTCTACATTATCTTGCAGCTTATATCCGAAGTTTGAACCAATAAATATGGGAATACTGTCAAGGAAGTCTCCTCAACCGAACGAGTCGATGGATATACAAGATCTACTGAAATCAAAGAAACGGAGTATCTATAAAAGCATTTATTATTCATCATCATCCGATGATGATGATTTAATGTCGATTTCTGTCCGTCAACAGACTGCGCAAAAGTCAGTTACTGTTGAAGCTGGTACATCTTACATTGAAGGCAAGGAAAACCTACACCCAAATTTGATATCCCCTGGAACATTTGTATTAATTAGAGTACCTACACAAAACAAAACTGTCAATTACAGATATGGTGCCACCTGTAAGACAGGTGTCGATAAAGATGATGGAGAAATCCTAGTCACTTACTTAAAGTCGGTATGTAATAGTGCCAAAAAATTCAAATTAAATTTGAGTGACGTATCCTACATTGCATTTGAGCAAATAATTAGTATTATTCCAATGCCATTACTAAAAAAAGAAAATAATCGAGAATATTATTACTTTGATACTGACATTGATGTTTATGAACAATTCTAATTTTTATTTAGTTTTATATCGTATATATCCACGTGTTTGATTATTGTATGATTAAGAAAGCTTGTTTTTGTTCAAAAGTTTAATTTGAATTTACTATAGAAATACCTTTTAGTAACATGTTTACATCTATAAATAATATATGTTTAAGTGTTTAATTAATATGGTTATAGGAACTTGTTTTTGTTTAAAAGTTTAATTTGCTTTTACTGTTGAACTATCTATAAGTAACATGTTTAGATGATTTGATTATTATTTATTACCAACAAGATTAAACTTGAATATGATTATGAAAAATCTTTGCTTGGTTGATTGTAAGACTGGAAAAATGTGATTTAAGTTATATTTTTGTTAAGAATAAACCTTCTGCCAAGTACATAAATAAGTATGCTATCCAAAAATTTCTTTTTTCATCGTCTAACATGGATTTTATGTGTACCGTCATTTCGAGAACACATTCATCATTCCGTGAAGGCCTGATCATTTCCGGGAACATCACTAAATCATGGATAAAACATTATTATTTTGAATATTCTGAAAAAGGCCCTAGTAATATAAAAACTAGGCCAACTTTTAATGCGTACAACTTACTCATTTATATATAAATCAGCAATATAAGCATATTTAGATAATTTAATACAAAGAAATAGTCAGATGGCTCCATTTGTAACGATATTTTGCTTTTAAATATTTGTTTTTGCAATTTTGTTAGAATTTTTTTATTTCCTACTATTTTTCACATACTTCCGCTACTGAACAGAGTAAAGAAGAAATACTTAAGTTATATTTAAATTTTAAAATGAATGTCACAAAAACGTTCCCATAATGACCCTTTTCAGCGGTAGCTCAATTTAAAAATCAAATGACAACAATAATAATTAATTCTATGCTCTGCCAACGTAAATATTGTTTAAACACAAGTCTAGTGATCATTCTAGATAATCATCAAAGTAATCGTTGCCAGTTATTTTTTTTATGAAATAGAATTTGGAATTTGCCACCTTGGTGATTTTGACTCAGATATATAATCTAAATCTCGCCTCCTGTAAGAATATTACAAATAAAAGACGTTAATTATTATTATTATTATTATTACTGTTTAAACTCATGTATTCAAACAAATATTTTGATAAAGAAACAATGAAAATTTTATATCATGTTATGATTGAAAGTCATATGATTTGTGCAATATTAGGTTGGGTGGAGCACTTAATAACCAAATGAACCGATTAGAAATTATCCAAAAACAATTTTTTAAAATAATCTTTGACAAGCCATCTGATCTGTTGTATTGTGAAACAAAACTGTTAGACTATAGACAATTATTTGTTTACAAAATTATAATTCATCAGTTTCAACATAGAAATTATCTTACTTCGTTAGAACACTTACATCAAACGAGAAAGAGAATCAACAACATCAAGCAAACACCTTTCACCTCAAAAAGTGTATGTCAAATATGTCATACTTGTCTTTACAATATTACCGAATGAATTAAGGATATTTCGAATAAAACTAAATCTATAATTGAAACAAAAGAGAGAGAGAGAGAGATCGAAACTTGATATGTGCAAACTTGTTTTTAAATTTTTTTAATTTTATTGAATCATTCCATTTTTAAACGTTCTACATTCCTACATTATTTGAACTACAGAAGATATCTTGATAGCTCACTTTTCAAGAAAATTGTCAAAGCATGTTCTTCAAAAGTATCATATACAATGAGTAAACGATAAGTGAGTACAAGTATTTCTGGAGCACGGTCAGGTGTCTTTCTTCGGAAAGCTCTTACCGGACAGCCAGTCGCATTATTTTTAGATTTTCGATGCATATGCTTCCGTTAATGTCTCGCTGAATCTACTGATAATGCATAATTCCTTTGAAGCACTTTTACAAATCAACCTCTCTACGAATTGTAATTTTTTGGACAGTATTGCACTTTAATACTTGTAACTTCTTATAACTGCGGTCCTATTCTATAAAAAGTATTATGGTGTAATAATTACAAGTCAATTGACTTGTAACTTGTACTAATACTCATACGAGGTATTTTGTTTCACACACGATATACTAGTACTTCTTCATATTATGCAAGTTACAAACACCATATCGTAAGTTGGATGTTTATGTTCCATAAAAGTACAAGTGATTCTAGTGTGGTAGAAAAAAAGGACAAACTTTTTGTTAAAAAAAGGGTCAGATGATAGTAACTCCTCTTATAGAGAACATCAAAAGATATTTGAAATGTGCTGATGTTTTGGTAGTATTAACTTTACTATAGAATTCGAATTCAACGGATGGTAACATAGAGGACTTGAAATACCAGCAAGATCAACTACATAAAATATTGCTAACATTTGATGTCATACATTTTTCGAATAATCCAATAATTATTCAGATATACGCCCTATGAAGTACTTTGCGATTCGGTCGCCATTTATAGATATGACTGTCTTATGACTCAAATCCCGTGATCTTTTTCTTTAAATACTACTGTATACATTTTATCAACTTCCAGACTAACGTTCAGAGAGCACATATCAGTTACCATTATATTATAATACTTTGTCTTATAGTCAGGTTATCATCTTCGAAAGATTTGAATTACTTATTTCTACTCGGCAGGATTACTAAATGCTGAACTTTTAACAGTTTGAACTTGGTTCTGGCTTTACCAAAGACACGCTACGTTACATATAAAGTAGTGTTATTCAAATACATTCTCAAAGATTAAAATCCTTAGTACACCTCAATAATTCTTATTGGGTTATTACATAGGTTTGCCTTAACCAAGTGAGTAAAACGAGCCTTAAAAGATTAAAGAAGATATGTTGAATAATCGTTGTATAACTTGGCGGTCATTTCCAAATAAGGGGGCCAAATGGCCACGATTTGAATCGCGTCACCTCGTTTTTCTATATCCCTACAGGTGCTTAATAATGCAATGTGTTTAAGCTGAGACCACATCAAGTTTCCACCAGAGTGACTAATCATGTACTTTAACGAATTTACGATGTTATTTCAACTGACTTTAGTATTTATGAATTTAATTAATGATTAACTGTTCAAACGTGGCATTTGCTCTATAAAAATAGATTTCCTTCCTATACCAAGTGGTATTTGAATACCTACAAAAATCCATAACATATCTGAATAACTGCTGAATTATTCAAAGAATGGGTAATCATAAAATGTTTTGTTTAAAAAATCAAATGAGCGTTAAACAGTTGAAATCGGCTCACTGGT